GACGGCGGCGACGGCGGCGATGCGCGAACGCTGTGCTGCAGCGCCCGATGCGGCCGAGCGCGGCTGTCGCCGTCGCTGCGCGCGAGCGCGCGGGGGCGCTGCAGCCGCCACCGCATGGCGATGCCGACGGCGGCTGCAGCCAACACCGCATGATGACGTCGGCGGCGGCGGCGGCAACGAGCGCGGCTGCAGCCGCCGCTCGCGGCATTGAGCATTGGGCGAGGGACCGATTCGCGACGGGGAGTGATGCCGATGCGCCCGCCGCCGTGCTGAGGGAGCCACGCCGGGGGCGCGCCCCCCGCCGCGCTCGCGCGCCGCCCGCGGCGCCGCCATCGGCACGGCGGCGCGGTTGCGCGCGCGCGCTGATGCGCCTGCGGGCGCGGCCCCCGCGGCCCGCGATCTGCGACGCCAGGCTGCGAATGATGAGTTGTGCAGGCTGCGTGCCTCCCTGCCGTTCTGCAGCCAAGCAGCGTTGGGCGCGCCCCTGGAGATAGCTGAGCGCGAGGAGCTGCCGAGCGGCAACCGCAACCTCCTGCGGGGGGCGCGAGACGAGTCGTGCGCTCACGGCCCGATCCACAAGGATATAAAGGTGCCCAGCAACGACACCGATGGGCACTTTGACCTCGAGGTCCAAACGCCGCAGGCCATGCTTGACTGCATGGTCAGCTCCTGTAGCTCCTTCGCCGCGCGCGTGGAGGGCGCCTGGACCAAGCGGCCGCCCGCGCCTCAGGACCCGTGGACCATCGTCCTCTATTCGGACGAGATCATGCCTGGCAGCGCTCTTGCCCAGACCCTGCACAGGAAGTGCTGGGGCTGGTACTGGAGCATCCTCGAGCTCGGCCCAGCGACCCTGAGCAACGAGGACGCGACTCGGGCGACGCGAACTACATTCTCTGGGCTGCAGCCAATCCACCCTCACAACCTCCAAACTCCAAGCATCCAAACTTCGAAACTCTGGGCTGCAGCCCATCCAGCGCCACGCGGCTCGCGCCCCCCTGTAGGACGCGTGGATGGAGGTTGCCATCGTGCGGAGCTTGCTGGCAAGGAAAGCAGTGAGCGGTGTGTCGGGGCTGGCCAGCGCCATCGTCGGCCTGTTCGGCGGGGAGCGCGACATGGGGCGCGCGGGCGCCACCGTCGGCCGCCCTGGGCGGCCGATGCACCTGTTTCTGCGGCCAGGTGCTATACTGGCCGACGAGGGCGGCATCCATGCAATATATGGGTGCAAAGGGTCTGGTGGGCTGAAGCCACGCCCCATGTGCGCTAATGCGTACGACGCAAGAAAGCGCCCGCGAGGCCCACCTTAACGACCCGACAGGGGCTGCCGTCCCTCACACGCGCGCTGACAGCACCAAGTCCGTCCCCGTCACCGTCTCCGTCCTGCAGGCCATCTTCAGGCAGCTGCGGGCGTTGTCCTTGATGCCCAGAAGCAAGGGCAAGCTGGAGGACTTGGAGACCGACCTCGGTTGGGCCCTCGCCGCGACGAGCGGCCTGCTCGGGAACGAGCGCGCGATGCACAAGCTCTACCCCATGGGGGCGTGCATGTGGGACGTGATGCACGTCATGTTCGCCAGCGGCGTCTTCGGCTCCCACGTGGGCCAGCTGATGCGCGTGGCGAAAGGCCACGGTATCACGCACAAGGTCCTGGGCGAGGCCGCGCAGACCTTCCAGCGGCCCGCCGTCGGGCGCAAAGGGCCGAAGCCCTGCGATGGCAGAACGGTTGGCGCATTTGCGCCGAAACGAGCCGAGAGCCATTGGGAGAACGTGAGCTCCAAGGCGACGGCGTCCGAGAGCCTCGCGCTGGCCCCCTGGCTCAAGCACTTCTTCCGCGCCGCGTCGTCGGCGCGCGGGGCGCCCGACATGGCGGTGCACGCGCTGTGTTTCGGCCAGCTGGTCGACGTCGTTGAGGCCGCCGTCGAGGCCCGCCGCGTGCCAGTCGACGCGGCGGCGCTGCAGCGCGCAGCGGGGGGCCTACTTGGGCGAGTTCGAGCGCTTGTGCGGCGAGGGCCCGATGACGCCGAAGCTTCATTATGCAATCGCTTCGCCCGCCCCCCCGCCCGCCCCGCCCCGCGTCGCCGAGCTGCAGCTCTTCGATGAGGAGGATGAGGATGATGATGAGGATGATGATGACGATGACGATGAGGATGATGATGAGTATGCTTATGATGATGGGGATGATGACGACGGCGACGACGATGACGACGGCGACGATGACGATTGCGAGCGATGATGACGACGACGATTATGATGATGATGCTGATGATGATGGTGATGGCGTCGCGGCTGCAGCCGTTCCCCGCCCGCGCGCTCGCACGGCGCGCGGGCGCGGGCGCGGACCTCATGCGCGCGCCCGCGCTGATCGCGAACTAAGTTCGGGCCGCTGCCCACGCGCTGGCCCCTGGAGCGGGAGAACAAGACGGTGAAGAAATTCGCCAACCACCTGTTCAGCAGCGCCGCTTCGGTCTGCGACAGGTGGGGCCGCAGCGTCTTGCGGGGCGTCGCGCCCGAGCGGATGCATGACGTCGCGGACGACGGGTTCGCCAAGGGCGCGGCGCTCCTGCAGCCGAGCATGCCCGCGTCCAGGCGACTTTTTGTTTCTTTCATGATTTGTTTTGCTGACGTTGTTATTTGTTCTGCCCGCGCCCAGGCGGCTGGCGGCGGAGCTGAGGGCGGCGTTCGGCCTCCCTGGGCTGGAGTTCAGGGTCGCCAAGCACGGTCGCCTGAACGAGTGCGACCGCGTGTCCGTGGGCGACGCCGCGGTGCTGTGGGGCGCGGGGGGCGGCTACGTGATGGGCATGGCGCGGCAGCTGGTCGCCATCGCGTGCCCCCCGCGGATGCCGCAGCCGTTCCACGCGGCGCTGGTGGAGCGGTGGGCGCGCCGCGGCGCTGGCAGCAGCCGCGGCGCGAGCGTCTGGACGACTGCCGGCGCCACGCTGCAGCGGGTGGCGTTCGACGAGGTCATGCGGGCGTCGCCCGCGCGGTCCCTCAGTGGAGGCCGCGCGACTGCGCTCAACCCGCCTGGCTATAGCTAACAGGTGAGAAAAATGAGTCCGCATGCGCGCGGCGGCTGCAGCCGCGCCCAACAACTCGAGCTGTAAGCTCCATGCTGCGAGGGGCTTCAGCTGCAGCGGCGGCCCCTCCTCCTCCTTATGCGCATCCCGTCCCCTGCTCCTCGCCCCGTCCTCCCTCCATCATCGCGATGGCGTTGAAATGATTCAACATACGCTAACGTACTTTAAGTTGTTTTAACTTACTTGAACATACTTTAGCTAACCACTTAACTTGAGTTAGCTTTCGCTAGCTTTCCTTACCATAGTTTAACATAGTTTAACACGGTTTAACAGGACTTACAACTTCGCTGTCGTTAACTTCCTTACCCCGAAGCTAAGTCATGTTAAGCCTTAGCTAAATCAAGTTAAACCAACTTAAACCATCTTGAAGCTTAGCTAAACCAGCTTAAACCATGTTAAGTCTTATAACCCTTAGCTAAGCCAGGATGCATCCAAGCACCCTCCTGCCTGGGCCACCCTCCCGGGCCACCCTCCCGGGCCACCCTCCCGGGCCACCCTCCCGGGCCCACCCTCCCGGGCCACCTTCCTGGGCCACCCTCATGGACCACCCTCCCGGGCCACCCTCCCGGGCCCACCCTCCCGGGCCACCCTCCCGGGCCACCCTCCCGGCGGGCCACCCTCCCGGGCCCCACCCTCGGGGACCCTCCCGGGCCACCCTCCCGGGCCACCCTTCCGGGCCACCCTCCCGGGCCACCCTCCCGTGCCCCTCGGAAACCCTCCCGGGCCATCCTCCCGGGCCACCCTCCCGGGCCACCCTCCCGGGCCCACCCTCCCGGGCCACCCTCCCGGGCCACCCTCCCGGGCGCACCCTCCCGGGCCCACCCTCCCGGGCCACCCTCACGGGCCACCCTTCCGGGCCCCACCCTCCCGGGCCACCCTCCTGGGCCCACCCTCCCGGGCCACCCTCCCGGGCCCACCCTCCCGGGCCACCCTCCCGGGCCACCCTCCTGGGCCACCCTCCCGGGCCCACCTTCCCGGGCCACCCTCCCGGGCCATCCTCCCGGGCCCACCTTCCCGGGCCCACCCTCCTGGGCCCACCCTCCCGGGCCACCCTCCCGGGCCACCCTCCCGGGCCACCCTCCCGGGCCACCCTCGCGGGCCACCCTCCCGGGCCACCATCCCGGGCCCGCCCCCCCGTCGGGGACCTTCCTCCCCCTCGTTGTCGTCGTCGTCGGCGGCGGCCCTTCCGGGCCCACCCTCCCGGGCCCCCCTGGGGGGGACCCTCCTCCCCCTCGTCGTCGTCGTCGTCGTCGTCGTCGGCGGCGGCGGCGGCTCTTGGAGGAGAGGGAGGCGGATCCGGCCGTGGCCACGGGGCGGGGGCACCGGACGCCCCGAGAGCCCAAAACAGCAGAAAAGCCGGAGGCCGAACCTCGAACCTGGAACCTCGGTCCTCCTCCCTCGACGGCGGCGGCGACGACGACGGCGGCGTTTCGCGCGTTTCGGGGCCGCTCGTCGCCGAGGCTGGATCCGCCACGAAATCCTCGTCAGAACGCTGACCTGCAGGGGCCCCGACCGTCCGGGGCCCCCGAGGCCCGCAACGGCCACGACGACGACGACGACGACGACGACGACGACGACGACGACGACGACGACGACGACCACGACGACGACGGCCCCGGCGGCGACGAGGGCCCCCGGTCCGGCCCCGGACCCCCCGGTCTGGACAGCTCGCTGTCCACCTCCTCCCCTTCCACCTCCATTTCTTTAGCCTGGCGGCCTCTCGCGCAGCAAGCGGGCGTCGGGTCAGCCGGATCCAAATCGCGAATCGCGAACCGGATCGTCGCCCGCTTTGCACCGGATCGCAATCGAATCGCTCGGCAACCGAATCGAATCGCGAACCGGATCGTGGCAGGGGGCCTCCAGCATCGAATCGGCATTCGCGGCGATGCGATTCGCCGAATTGAAACGACCCGGATCGAATCTCGTGCGGACCTCTGTTGCCGCCCAGGCGCGGCTCCTGCAGGCCGGGCAGGGAGGGCAGCGCCCCCGCCAGGGCCCGCGCGCCCCCGTCGCCGATCTCGCATCCTCGCAGGTCCAGCTTCTGCAGGCGGGCGCACAGCCGCAGGCAGCTGGCGAGCCCCGCGGCCTGCTCGGGGGTCGGGGGTGGCATCCCGTCGAAGTCCAGCCTCGTCACGCCGCCCAACTGCGCGCGGCTCATCCGGCGGAAGAGCGCCTTCACCGCCTTCTTGTCCGCGCCGTTGGTGAAGTGCATGTCTTCGATGAGCCGGTCGAACTCGTCCGGGCCCACCGGCCACCTCCTCCCGGCCGCCTTCGCCCGCGCCCCCTGCCCCAGGTCGGCCACGGCGGCCCACTCTGCCTCCCAGCGCCAGACCTGCTTGATCTGCTCCGTGGAGCAGCGCTCGTACGTCGTCCAGCCGGACTGGTCGTAGCCCTCCTTGCGCGCGCTGCCCCGCTCGCGGGGGTGCTGGGTGAGCAGGAGCACGGTGGTGGCCTGGTGGGCGTACCAGAGGTCCATTGTCTCCTCCAGCCCGTGCTTGAAGGCGGCTTTCTCGGCGGGGGTCCGCTTGGCCTTGTCCGCGGCCTCCTGCGCGTCCTTCTCGGTCTTGCCCTGCCGCAGGGCGGCGGCCTTCGCCTCCTCGGCCTTGATCGGGTCTCCCTGCAGCAGCGAGGGCCAGTCCCAGAATATCCCCATCTCGCTGAACCCCTTGAAGTCACCTTTGGCTGTGGAGTACTTGTGGCGCTCTGTCTCCAGGGTGTCAATCACCAAACTCAGCTGCACCCCATTGGGGTCGGGATGCTCGCGCGCGTCCCAGCAGTACGAGATGGTGATGATCGGCGCCACCTGGTCTTTCCCTCCTCGCCCGCCGGCCTCCCACACGGCCCGCAACTCGTCCGCGGACACGAAGGCCTCCTCCGGCAGCTCCTGGCGCCTCTTCAGGACGGTGCCGCGCTGCTGCAGCAACCACGTCATGCGGACCAAGCGCACGGGGTGGAGGTCATCCACGGTGAACGCGAGCGCGTCGAAGAGGCTCGCGGCGTCCGTGTCGGCGGAGCCCATCGTGTCGGCGCGGGGGGCTGGTTTACAGAGGCAAGAGGGGCGCTCGCGCCTGCTTCAAGACCTGCGTCCAGTCGTGGAAGCTTAAGCCTAAACACACAGGGCGATGCGGAGTGGTCGTCCCGATTGTTCACACGTTGACTCGAGAGCGCACTGGGATGCCGCACTGTAGCATCAGAAGGGGCAGGAAGTGAGGGGGAGCGCATTGGAAGCATGAGTAGGTTAGCTCCCAGTCAAGGGGGGGAAATTCGTTACTTTTCTCCCTCTGCTTCCTCCCCCTCCCCCTCTTCCTGCACTTTGCTCACACCCTTCTCTCGCGCCATAGCCGTTTTGGGGCAAGCAGGGGAATAGTTCAATTTTGAAGCACTTCCAGTGTTAGGACAGTTCCTTTGTAGCCTCCGATCTGCTTGAAAGCGGGCCCAAGCGGGCCCATGCCGGGGGGATGGATCAAAGCAGGAACCCTTGCCGACGGGGACCTGCTCAACGATACCCTTGAGTCTGAGTTGATAGAGGCGGCCGCCTACGACGACGACGATGCCTCCCAGGGTACGTACATACTTCAGGTACTTCACGGAGACTACGCTCCAGAAGGCGGCGTGCTTCTCACAGCGCGCTACCTTGCAGCGAAAGACGACTATTATAATTATTGGATGCGGTCTGGAGGCCGCCCAATAAAAGACGTCTACCACGTGTGCGCAGCTGCTGGGTGCAGGGGGGGGCCAAAAGGACAAATCCATATAGAGTCCTGGAGGCCACTCGGCCGCGAGGACATCGAGGAGGGCAGGCTCGCCTGGGCGGCGAAGCCAGGACTCCAGAAACGGATTCTGGAGGCCCTGCGCGAGGGGGCTGAGCCAGGGGGAGAGAGCGGTGCCGAACGCCGCGGCGGCGAGGCGACGCCGCTGGCCGACGGGGAGCGTCCCCCTGGCCGGTCGCCGAGTGGCCGCCCAGCGGCGGAGCCACGAGCGGAGGCTCTGGGCGAGCCTCCGCCTGCGGGGCGCGGGGCCCCCGACGGCGCGTTGTGGGCTGGCGCCCGCAGCGTGCGACCCCGGCGTGGGGTCGGGGAAGAGCTAGAGGAGCTCCGCGCTGGCCTGGAGGAAGGCAACAACCGCCACGGCCTGGACAGGCCAGACCGCGCCCGCGGGCACAGGAGCAGGTCGCCGCGGGGCCGCGCGCGGGGGGGGCGCCAGGAGGGCGCCCCGGGCGGACGGAGCCCTTCCCCTCGGGGGAGCAGGGGCCCGCCGGGGCGTCGCCGCGATGTGGCCCCCGCTGCCGGCGCCGGCGCGCTGGCGCCGAGCGGTGCCTGTGGCGGCCGCAGCCCGCGCCGCAGGGGCAGCCCGCAGTTCGCCGCTAGCCCCCGCCGCAGGGAGCCGCGCAGCCCGCGCCGCCGCGAGGCGCCGAGCCCGCGCCGCGGAGAGCGGCGCAGCCCGCCCCGCCGTGAGGCAGCGAGTCCGCGGCGCGGGGGAGAGCCCAGCCCGCGCCGCCGCGAAGCGGCGAGCCCGCGCGGCCGGGAACAGGGCGCAAGGGAGCGGTCAGGAGACGGGCCCCGCCGGCGCCGCCGCCGTTGGCGGGCTCGCTCTAGCTGCAGCGACAGCGACGAGGCGGGTTTTCACAACGCCTCGACCCCAGGCGACCGCTCGAGCACCACGCAGGGGCGGTTGATGCGCTTCGCGCGCGAGAACCAAGGCAGGCTGGCCGAGAAGCTACTGTGGAAAATGGCCAGCAGGGTTACTCCTGGGGGAGAGGCGGACTCCGACTCCGAGAACCAGACAGGAGCCGCACCGGCGGTCGCTTCGGCGTACCACTTGAGGGTGCTGTCCACGCAGCAGCCGCCCCTCTCGAAGCGCAACGCGAACGAGATGCGGCTCATGTGCAAAATGCTCGACCTGCTCAGCCGCAACAAGGTCAAGAGAGCCATGGACTTCGCAGCCCAGCACTTGAAAGCCATCGAGCAGTCGGTGGCAGACGGGGGCTGGACCAGAGCCCGCTTCCTCGAATTGTTCGAGGAGGATGCGCCGTCCCTCGTCGGCAGGGGGGAGAAGTACATGATGCGGTCGGAGGTCCGAGCCGAGCAGGCACTCGCTCTCCGGAGCGGCTCGGGCCCGAAAGGGGCACCAAAGGGCGCCCGCTCGGACGAAGCTGGCGCAGCGGTCAACGGGGCGACGGAGAGCCGCGGCAAGGGCGAGGCCTTCAGCGGGAAGGGCTTCAGCTTCGGCGCGGCCTCGAAGAGCAAAGCGAAGGGGAAAGACAAGGCGGGGAAGTGGTGGTGAAAGACGACCGCCGCTACCCGTGCCCACCCGCCCTGGATGTCGATTCCAGGAGTGTGGGAAAGCGCACTTTGCGCGGGCAGGCCCGACCTCCTGGTTGCAAACGCAGCCAGCCCGCCCTGGATGTCGATTCTGGGAGCGGGGGGAAGCGCATTTTGCGCGGGCAGGCCCAACCTCCTGCCGGCGAACGCAGCCCGCCTCCCCTGGATGTCGATTCCGGGGGAGCGGGAAAGCTGGTTCCCGGCGCGCAGTTTCACCCTACTTGCCTACAGAGCGGTGCAAAAGCATCTGCCTCTTCAATTGCTGTAACGGATTCCTCGGCGCACGATCTCTTCGCACCTCTTCCTTCTCCTCCTCTTCCCCTTCACTTTTGTGCAAAAGAAAGCGGTGGGGCGCAAGTGGCCCCGCTACCAATACCCGCGTGGCAAGCTATAGCGGGCGAAGAGCTAGAGGAGCTAGTCCACGAAAACGAGCTGTGGGCATTCTTTGAAGACGCGCTGACTCACCTGGACACGCCGTTAGGGCGGCATGCCTCGCTCGACCCTCCTTCGGGCACCCAGCCCGCCAGCGACTTGCTACCAATGCCGGCAGCAGCGGCGCGCGAGCACGCGCGGTCGTTGTCTGAGGCAGCGGGGCACGACGGTGCTCGCGCATCCCACTGCCAGGCGGCAGTGTGGTGCATGACGGTAGCCCTCAACTTCGTCGCACAAGCAGCATGGGCGGGAGACGCGAAAGGCTCCCCTTCGCCAGGGCCGCGACCAGGCCTCACGACCACGCAACAGCACGCCGCGGGCCATCTCTGGGAAGCGGCAGCCGAGCTCCTGGCGGAAGGCGGCCCCGCGCCGTCCGCTCGCCAGATCAGGGCGGACCTAGCCACTCGCCAAACGGATTACATGGGTGAGCCCGTTTCCGTGCGCAGGCAACTGGTCGCAAGCAAGGTGCTGCCGGCTTGGCCGCGCGCGGGCGAAGCGGCAGCAGTGCCCGTCACTAGGTTCTTGGACGGGGAGCTTCTTGACGATGTCCTTAACCCAAGCTCCTGCCTCCTCCCCCCAGACGAATGGCCCCTCGACCCGCCGTGTTCGAGAGTGCACGCCTCGGACCGAGAATGGTACAAAATCGTGAAAGAGGGCGCTGCCAGAGGCATTTTCGCCGAGGTCCCAGAAGACAAGATTTTCCGCGACCCTTCAGGCCGGCTGGTCGTCAACGGGGCAATGGGCATCGACAAGCCCCCCAAATCTTCCGAAGAAGGGGAAACGCTGTTGCGCTTCATCTCCATCTTCACACCGATCAACGCGTATTTACGCAAGCTCCGTGGAGATGACCACACTCTCCCGGTAGCGGCGCTACTCAGCGCTTGCATTTTGGAAGATGGGGAAGAGTTCTGGGACGACGCTGAAGACCAAAAGGGCTGCTTCAACATCTTCCGGCTCCCGGAAGAGTGGCTGGGGTATTGCGCGTACTCCAAGCAGGTCCCAGCGTCAGCGTTCGGTGGGGATCCGAACAGGCTAGCTTGGGTTGCTATGCGTTGCGTTGCGATGGGGTCAAAAATCGCTGTATCGATCATGCAGCGGGTCATGCGGGTCCTGGTGTTCGAAGAATCTACCGTCGACGCGGCCACGGAGCTCAGGCGAGACGCGCCGGTGCCCGAGGATAGCGTGAGCGTCGTTTGTCTCGACGGGTTCGACTTCGTGCGGAAAGCCCAAACGCGGCTCCAGCACCTCCAGGCGCCAGAATCGGAAGAACACATCGCCTTCGTTGGCACGTGTGCCCGATATGGCATCCCCCTCAACCCTGCGAAGTCTTTGGTGGCGAAGCTCAATGCGGGCATCCTCGGCGGTCTTCTGCGGGGGGACAAGGGCTGGCTGGCGGTAGCGCCGGACAAGGCCCGAGCACTAGCATTCAAAGGCGCGGTCCTGGCCACGCAAAGCTCCTGGAGCGCTGGCGCGCTCCAGCATTGGGCCGGGCAGGCTTGTTTTGCCGCCGGCTTCCGCAGGCCTCTCTTCGCGGTGCTCGAACAAGTCTTCCCGACCATTCAGTTGGCAGCAAGTGGGCCTATTCAGGCCAGCGCAGCAACCATGGACGAAATCATTGCCTTCACATTATTGCTGCCTCTAGCATACACAAACTTGCGGGCGCAAGTGAAAAGAGCAATCTCGTGCACGGATGCGTCGGAACACGGGGGAGGGGCGGCCGAAGCTACCACCTTCGTCCGCACTCAGGACCCGCAGCGCGCCGCGCGCTTCGAAGCGCACTTTGCGAGGCTGGCGGAAGACTCCTCCAGGGCGACCGGAAAGTCCGCGGGCTGCGTCGTGTGCGGCACCTCCCTGCCAGAAAACGCTTGGGCCGGCAATTTTGCGCGCTGTCCGGCAGCGTGCGGCGCGGTCATGTGTTCGGTGGACTGCGTGCTCACGCACCGCCGGGTAAGTTGCGACTTAGCGGGGGAGAGGCTATTCAGCTTCTTCGAGGGCCACTCCGGCCCCGATGCCCTGCTTACGTGGGCCGTAGCCTGCTCAGGCGTGGAGATTTGTCTCCCCCTCGACCCCACCAGGGTCCCCTACTCGGAGGTGCTCCGAGAATCGGGGCGCAAACACATCCACTTGGAAGCGGATGACGAGGCCACAGCTTGGGAGCATTGGAATGCATCCCCGGAGTGGCAGGCGCACTCGCGCTCCCTTTCGGCGCCCGGGGGAAAGCCCGCCAAAATCGGCAGCCTTGCGTTCGCAAGGTTGCAGTGGAGGCTCGCCAACTGGGGGTTTGCAGTCGTGCAAGCCCCCGCGCATGACCCTCTGTGGTACACCCCGGAAGCTCTCGCGGTGAGCCGCCGCGCAGGGGTGCACGAAACAGCCGTCGTCCTTGACTACGGGGGCGCCGGCGGCCAGCAGGAAGTTTGGTTCCTGCACAACTGCCGGGCACTGTGCACGGTGCTTCCAGGCGCGCCAGGCCAGGCTACTTCAAGAGAGGCTTTCCGAACGGCATACGCCGGAGCCGTCACCCAGGCCTTGAAAGACCTAGGGGCCGGCACGCTGCCGCTGCAGCCCACCAGTAGACCAGAATGGATCCGCGACCAATTGGCGCAGGAGCGCCGCAAGGCCTACAGCGAAGGCGCGGACAATCTAGCCCGAGAGGTGGGGGCGATCTTGCGACAGATGGTCCCAGGACAAGAGGAGAAACATTTACGTTCCCTCCTTTCGTGGTCAGACCCGAAGGGCAGCCACGTCTGGCTCGCCACAGGGGAAGTCGCCAACGTGTTTCAAACGGTCCCGTACCCAGCTTTCTCGTGGAGGTGGCAGACCACCATGTCGTACCCATGGAAAGCACACCAGCATATTAACGTGTTAGAACTTATATTGTATCTTAATTATGTCCGAAAAAAGTCTTGTTCTCATTGTTTTCATTCGCTACGACAACGTTACCAGGAAGCGGTTTCTTCATTTTTTCTGTATCTACGGACATATGCGATACCCATCCCGGCGTCTCTCACAGAGCTGGACGACAGCCTCGCTGAGTACGTCAATCACTTATGGATGGGAGGTGATTCTCACGGATATGCTGCGAACACCATTTGTGGAATCGCTACCTACAGCCCGGCAGTATTTGCACAATTGGGACACGGTGTTGGAAAGAAAGCGTGCTTTCCCCCTCGACCGGGGGCTCCTTCGAGCGATGGTCGGGGCCGCTATGGCGTACCACAGAGTCGATCTGGCGGCGCTTCTCCTCGCGGGTTTTCTGGGCCTCCTGAGAACCAGCGAGGTGGTGGGGCTGGCGCCACATCATTTGCATTTCAGCCCAGACGGGCGCAAAGTACTCATCATGCTGCACGACACCAAAACAACGAAAAGAAAGAAAGGCGTCGAACACGTCCTCATCGAAGACAGCATCGCCGTAGCGGCGTTGCGCGCGGCGGCGGCTACTCGCCAGCCAGCCCAACCACTGTATACAAAGCCAGCCCGCCATTTCACAAGCGAATACAAATGGTTGTGCGGGTTGTTCGAGGTTGAGGGCGATACTGTCACCCCGTACGGCTTACGGCGTGGAGGCGCGACGTGGCTATGGCTACTGTCCGGGTCCCTGGACAGGGTCATGGTGGTGGGCCGCTGGCAGCACGCCAACACAGCCCGCATTTACATCGAAACTGCGGCAGCAGAGCTTGGTAGCTGGAAGCACAGCGACCGCGCCGAATCGCTCATCCACCAGGCCGGAGCAGCAGGAAGAAGAGCATTGCTGGGCGCTTGACCAGGGGGAGTGGCTTGAGGGGGGCTTGGCGCACTGGAAGTGTCGGTGGGGCAGGTGGTTCGGGGGCGGGCGTGCACCCATGTGATTGGGTGCGGCACGTCTTAAGCCATTCGGCTTCGCCCTCGGTCGCAGCAGCGGCCTCAGCACCCCCCTTCCGCAGGCGTGTGATCGCCAGAGCCCCCCTGTATCGCCACCTTAGCCGCGACGGTGGCGACAAGCACTCCCAGGGTCGAGCGAGCGAGGAAAATGTGTGAAACACACAGGGCGATGCGGAGTGGTCGTCCCGATTGTTCACACGTTGACTCGAGAGCGCACTGGGATGCCGCACTGTAGCATCAGAAGGGGCAGGAAGTGAGGGGGAGCGCATTGGAAGCATGAGTAGGTTAGCTCCCAGTCAAGGGGGGGAAATTCGTTACTTTTCTCCCTCTGCTTCCTCCCCCTCCCCCTCTTCCTGCACTTTGCTCACACCCTTCTCTCGCGCCATAGCCGTTTTGGGGCACCCGCCACCGCCCCGTCTGACCTCCAGCGTATGGGTCACGCCAGTGGATGCACGAATAGATTTCAATACCCCTCAGGCGCTAGCACTGTTTGGGGCATTTCAGGGTGGCGCATAGATTCGCTTGCCGGCGCGGGCCGTTTGCTCGCGCAACGAAGCGCGAATGCCGGAGGGGATGTACAGAAGGAAGGCGGTTCGGGGGCGGGCGTGCACCCATGTGATTGGGTGCGGCACGTCTTAAGCCATTCGGCTTCGCCCTCGGTCGCAGCAGCGGCCTCAGCACCCCCCTTCCGCAGGCGTGTGATCGCCAGAGCCCCCCTGTATCGCCACCTTAGCCGCGACGGTGGCGACAAGCACTCCCAGGGTCGAGCGAGCGAGGAAAATGTGTGAAATAAATGGCTACGGACGGGTGCTAGCATGCGTCTTGGTAAGAGACCTCGTGGGAGTCCTCGTGGGAGCCTGGAACTCTCTCTCTCTCTCTCTCGCTCTCTCTCTCTGTGTCTCGCTGCCTTTGTCTTACTGAACATGATCGACCCACGAACCCGGCAAGGAATATAGAAATGTAAGGCATGGCAACGCTTCAAAAAACACCTGATTGGGCGACGGGGAAATGAAATGCTGAATGTATCGATCTTGATGTACCGTGCCGAGGGCTGTGCTGTGCTGCGCCGTGCTGAGTTGCGATGTGCCATGCCGCGATTGAGCACTACAGTGCGGGCGCGGCCGCAAGAAACCCTCGCAAGAAACCCAACCCTGAGAAGCCGTGCGCGAGGTGCACCTGAGGGGAAACCTGGAGCACCCTGAACGCAGCAGCTCTTTCAACGGCCGCGGGAAGTCAACGCGCAGCGCGCGGAGCAAAGAAACCCAGGATACCCTGACGAAAAGTAGATGGTTTCTTTATGCGCGCCCACAGTGTATAGCGTTGTGGATCGAGTCCTCATTTGCATCCGAGTCCTGATCGAACTGATCTGGATCTTAAGCTCAAGCTGCCTGAGCACAAAGTAGCTGCCCCAGAGCTAATTGACAGGTGGACATGCCAGGAGGACGCGACGCGAAACGTCCCAAGGGACGCGCCAGGCAACGTGCCAGGGGACGCGCCATGGGGACGCACCGCGGGACGTGCCAAGGGGACACACTACGGAACGTGCCAATGGATGTGCCGCGGGATGGACGCGCCGCGCGACGTGCCAGGGGGACTCGCCACGGGGACGCGCCGCGCGACGTGCCACAGGGCATTGCAACCTGGCGCGTCCCTTGACGAGAAAGGAAGCGCCAGGTTGCAATGCTGAATGTATCGATCTCGATGTGCCGTGCCGAAGGCTGTACTGTGCCTGGGCGACCTGGACACGTGAAAATAAGCGTTTCGCTCAAGACATTCTCGTCACATCCTCATGCTAAACATCCGCCTGGGCAACCTGGACACGTGCAAACAAGCGTCTCGCTCGAGACAGCCTCAACAAATCCTCATGCTAGACATCTGCCTGGGCAACCTGGACGCGTGAAACCAAGCGTCTCGCTCGAGCCATCCTCAAGACCTGGGTACGTGAAAACAAGCATTTCACTTAAGAGATCCTCTGAGACGGAGAATCTAGAACACAAAACAAGCGTTTCGCTCGAGACATCCTCAACAACATTCTGCAAAACAAGCGTTTCGCTCGGGACATCCTCACCTTTAGATTAGCCGGCCCTCTTCGACCTTGTTGTTTAACGCAAAATAACTCGCTGGCCCTGGTCGAACTTCGCACCGGGGGACAGATTGACTTACGAAAAGAAAACCCTGGGCTCGTGCCCTTTCCGGCAACAGTGCCACACACACTCTGCCTTCAAATTCGGAGCATGCGCAGGAAAACCAAACGCGCCCTCCCCCACCATCCCTCTCAAAAAGCTATACAAAGTACACGTTGGAGCAAAGTCTGGAGTCATGTTTGTGAGGCCCGCGGGCACTTTGTTTTTGAAGGGGACGTCGGGGGTGTCAGCATATTTCCTGCTGAGCGCAGGGCTACCATCCCTGACGAAAAACCATACAAAATGCACCTCGCGGCTATGTCTGGATCATGCGCGGCCACCCCAGAGCTAATTGACAGGGGGACATGCCAGGAGGACGCGCTGCGGAACGTCTCAAGGGACGCGCCAGGCGACGTGCCAAGGGACGCGCCATGGGGACGCACCGCGGGACGTGCCAAGGAGACGCTGCCAATGGACGCGCCACGGGATGTGCCAGGGGGACTCGCCAAGGGACGCCCCACGGAACGTGCCAAGGAACGTGCCAGGTTGCAATGCTGAGTGTATCGATCTTGATGTACCGTGCCGAGGGCTGTGCTATGCTGCGCCGTGCTGAACTGCGATGTGCCATGCCGCGATTGTGCTCTATTGCGTTGTGGATCGAGTCCTCCTTTGCGTCCGAGTCCTGACCGAACTGATCTGGACTTTAAGCTCGAGCTGCCTGAGCACATAACTAGTAGCTGCCCCAGAGCTAGTTGACAAGGGGACATGCCAGGAGGACGCGCCGCGGAACGTCTCAAGGGACGCGCCAAGCGACATGCCAGCGGAGCCATGGGGACGCACCGCAGGACGTGCCAAGGGGACGCTCTACGGAACGTGCTGGGGACGAGCGTTTCGCTCGAGACATCCTGTCAAAATCCTCATGCTAGACATCCGCCTGAGCGACCTGGACACGTGAAAACAAGCGTTTCGCTCAACACATCCTCAACACATTCTCATGCTAGGCATCCGCCTGGGCGGACTGGACACGTGAAAACAAGTGGTTCGCTCGAGACATCCTCAACACATCTTCATGTGAGACGTCCGCCTGGGTGACCTGGGCACGTGAAAACAAGCGTTTCGCTCGAGAAGTTTTCAGTACATCCTCGTTCTAGCCATCCGCCTGGGCGACCTGTACACGTGAAAGCAAGCGTCTCCCTCGAGACATCCTCAACACATCTTCATGTTAGACAGCCGCCCGGGTGACCTGGACACGTGAAAACAAGCGTATCTCTCGAGACATTCCCAACACATCCTCATGCTAGGCATCCACCTGGGCAACCTGGACACGTGCAAACAAGCATCTCGATCGAGACTTTCTCAACACATCCTCATGCTAGACATCCGCCTGGGCGACGAGGACGCGTGAAACCAAGCGTCTCGCTCGAGATTTCCTCAACAAATCCTGGCGCTAGTGGGCAACCTGGAGGCGTGAAACCAAGCGTCTCGCTCGAGACATCCTCAAGACCTGGGCACGTGAAAACAAGCATTTCACTTGAGAGATCCTCTGCATTCTGGTCCCCAGGAGAGGACACTCTATAACACAAAGGAAGCGTTTCGCTCGAGACATCCTCAACAACATTCTGAAAAACAAGCGCTTCGCTCGAGACATCCGCAAAAATAATTCCGCCGGCCCTAATTAGGCGACCTCGATATTGATCGCAAATAATCCCGCTGGCCCTACAGTCGTCGATTCCGGGGGCAAACCTCCAAAAGAGAACCCTGGGCCCACGCCCTTTCCGGGAACAGTGCGAAGTTCCCTGTGGGGCAAAGTCTGGGGTCATGTTCGTGAGGCCCGCGAGCACGTTGTATTGTTTTTGTCAGGGGCGGCGGGGGTGTCAGCATATTCCCTGAAGGTTGCGGCATTCAGCATGCCGCAGCCCCGCCGTCGGGTGCGCCGAAGAGGGGGTTACCACGCCATGGCCCGAGGAATCTGCGCCCATGAAATCTGGGAGATCTCATGGCCCTGGCTATGAGATCCACGTACCCACACGCAATCCTCACCCCCCTCTTGGACGCCCCCGACCTCCCCAGACCCCCGACGTCATGTTTTTGTTTCGTGACGTCGACCCCCAGAGGTCTCGACCCCTTCCCCCGGACTGGCTTTTTATCCTGAATCGTTGTTTGCAGTCCTGAGGCTCGGTAATCGCCCCCCAAAGCCGAACATGGCAGTAACAAAAACGTCCGTCATGATTTGTTCATTGCGCGAGGGGTTATGGGTCCGTTGGCAGGAAGGAAGCGGGTCCTGAAAGGAAACAGGTTCTGGATCTTTGGGCTTGTCCCCAAGGCCAAATACTCCTCCCGGGTAGGTCAGGTTCGTGTCGTGCCGACTTTGGCGTTGGCTTCTGACACCGCGGGGATCGCTCAACTTTGAACGATCGTCCGTGTCCGAAACGTCCGACTCGTCCCCACATCGAACGACTATGGGTCGCCCGCGGCGTTCAACGTCGAACGCCGCTGGCGGGGTCGCCGCTGGCCGTCACGACACGAACCTGCCGTAATCGTGTTGACGGTCCCGGGACCCGTGGAGGGCCCCCGCTGGGGAGCCCAGAAGCCGCGACAGATCGGGGAAGCCGCGGCGCCCTGTGGCCCCGGGGAGGGCCCAGACCTCCGAGCAGCGGAGAGCTCGGCAGGCCGTGGGCCCCAGTGGAGCTCCAGACGCCCTCCCTGGGGGCCCCTGTGGTTCGACGACACGGGAGCAGTG